CAGATTAAGTGTTCTTCAGAAACACACGAAGCCTCCGTGGCGCAATCAGCTAGCGCGTTCTGTTATTAAACGAAAAATTAGTGGTTCCAGCCCACCCGGGGGCGGCATTTTATATTTCCTTTTCCTTCAAGTGAAATAGAATTTATTAAAAAGTTTATCTTTTTTTCTGATCAGATTAATTGTTCTTCAGAACCACGCGAAGCCTCCGCGGCGTAATCGGCTAGCGTGTTCGGCTGTTAAGCGAAAGGTTGGTGGTTCGAGCCCTCCCAGGTGCGGCATTCTATATGTCTTTTTCCTTCAAGAGGAGTAGAATTTATTAAAAAGTGGATCTTTTCTGTTCGGAGCATCCGTGGCGCAATCGGCTGGCGCAATCGGCTAGCGCGTTCGGCTGTTAACCGAAAGGTTGGTGGTTCGAGCGCACCCGTCGGCGGCATTCTATATTTGTTTTTCCTTCAAGAGGAATAGAATTTAATAACAAGTGGATTTTTTCTGTTCAGATTAATTGTTCTTCAGAAAAACACGAATCCGCGGTGGTGGAATCGGCTAGCGCGTTCGGCGATTAACCGAAAGATTGGTCGTTCCAACCAACCCGGTGGCTGTCTTCTGCACTTATTTTTACTTAAAGTGAAATAGAATTTATTAAAAAGTGGATCTTCCGGTTCAAGATTAATTGTTCTTCAAAAACCTTCAAGAGCCTTGAATTTCCTTCAAGTGAAATAGATTTTATTAAAAAGTGAATCTTTTCGGTTATGATAAATTGTTCATCAGCAATACACGAAGCCATCGTGTCGCAATCAGATAGCGCGTTCGGAACCGAAAGCTTGGTGGTCCGAACCCTCCCGGGGTCGGAGATCAATATTACTTTTTCCTTCAATTGAAATAGAATTTTATTAAAAGTGGGTGTTTTCAGTTATGATAAATTGTTCCTCATAAGCAGACGAGGCCTCTGTGTCTACAGTGTTCGGCTATTTACCGAAAGACTGGTGGTTCGAACCCACCCGGGGGTGGCATTTCATATTCGTTTTTCCTTCATGTAAAATAGAATTTATTAAAAATTGGATCTTTTTACTGTTCAGATTAATTGTTCTTCAGAAACACACGAAGCCTCCGTGGAACAATCGGCTGTTAACCGAAAGGTTGGTGGTTCCAACCACCCCGGGGGTGGCATACAGAATTATTATTTACTGTATTTTTTTTCCTTAAAGAGTGAAGTAGATTTTTTTAAAAAGTGGTTGTTTTCTGTTAAGATTAATTGTGCATCCGCGACAACCGCAGAATCCGTATCGCAATCGTATAGCGCGTTCGGCTATTAGACGAAAGTTTCGTGGTTCCAGCTCACCAGGGGGCGGCATTCTGTATTTGTTTTTCCTTTAAGTCAGATAGAATTTATTAAAAAGAGGATCTTTCAAGTTCAGATTAATTGTTCTTCAAAAACGCACGAAGCCTCCGTGGCGCAATCGGTTAGTGCGTTCGGCTGTGAACTGAATGGTTGGTGGATCGAGCCCACTATGTGCAGCATATA